CGGATTTATGTCCACCGTCCCGACAAACTTCAACTGAGCATCACTGCGTTAGGTGTTAAAAGCACATTTGTTGGGTGGGCAGTTCAACTGAGCGGGTCAGAACTAGCTTTCGACGGCGGTAGCACCCTCATTGTAGAGTCGCGAAAGTTGAGCGTGCGGGCTGAACTACTTGCACAAAAGGAGGACCACGAATTGCTTATGCGCTGGGTCTAAGGAACTAGCATGGTAGCACCAAAGCATGGGATCTCCATCTACTTTGACCTACTATATCGGGTGTTTGGAGCTGCTCCAATGTTCTAAGGCTATTTTTCTCTTACTCCGAGGCCTGGTCATTCATATTTGGCGACGTCGGCGATTCAGTCGCGCGTCTCTAAGCGGTTTTGCGATTCGTACTGTCACCATGCTTCTTCGTACAGTGGCAACCTAATGACTTAATCGATAACCAAGGTCAAGCATAAAACCACTAGAAAACTAGTTAGTGGGTAGGTACCTCCATAAGTACAAGCTGTGTGTCAGACAGCCACCCCTCCCCCTTTATTGGCGAGCTTCCTTTTTGTAAAGTGTTCAGCTTCATCTGCCAACGACCTTACAGCAGGAAGCATGAGGAAAATGTGGTCCCTTGGGAGGGTCTACGCAGAAGACGCTGAAACTGTCGCATAGTTTGCAAGACGGCCTCGGTCCAAGCAACGCGGGAAATGTTTTACAATAACGAGTTCGTGAGATTTACCTTTTTTTAAGCCTGTGGACCAACTTCGGCTAGGCATTACACAAACCTACTGAACTTGAGAACTGGAAGATTTGAAGTACACTTGCCCCAAAGCCCTGTACAGGGAGTAAGCGAGTGATCTTGTAGAAACAGTCACACGTGAGTAATTTAAGCAATTTATTGCACTAAGAAAACAATCAACATCAAAAAACAAATAATTAGTCCAGGGCTAGAGAAAGTGCAGAGGAAGGCGCAGGGGAAGGAGAGAGCGAAGACCGGCGTCGAAGTACAACACCTTGACCACCGTTTTGACGATCTCCTCCGGGTGGAACCGTGCGTATGCTTTGCGATTGCGGCAGGCGTGAAGCATATGCGACTCACGTGATCTTACGAGGAGCAGTCTTCGGAAAAAGGTGTCTCCACAAGCAGTAACAGTAGAAATTCACATTCATACAGCTTTTGAAAGAAAGTTTTCCTGTGGAAGCCACCAACTAGCCACATCCTTGGTACTGTTTACTTCTTTTTTCGGAGTTGCAATAAGAGAACCCAGTTCATTATTCATTCACTGCCATTTTCCCAAAATCAGGCTACTTTTCTCCAACTTTCCCCTTAGGAGATAGAAAAAGTTTTCTTTTGTTTGACCTGGTAAACATCAGCGAAATGATGGACCACCTGTCTTACGAATACAGTAAGGAACTATAGAACAAATATAAAAATTAAACAAGAAATCATGCTTCTGGAAAAGGAATGAATTCGATGGGCGTGATTCATATACGAATCACGCGTCCCACAAGATATCATCAACAGGAGTTAGAAAGTCTTTCCTGACCTCCTTTTCGCTTGGTGGTCCGCCTTCTTTGACACACACGCCCACGAGGATGACATCACATTCGATGTCGAGTACATGAGATCCGGCAATGCAGGCGACGCTGCTCCTGCTGCTTTTTCTTACTGCCTCAAAACCACTTTATGTACACCAGCTATTACGAATCTACTAGAAAAAGGCTGCTAGCTTCAGCTACCTCCGCTCCCATGTAAGCTTGCCATTCCAATTACTTCTTGGATTCTGGATGTACGAAGAAATTTACTTGCTATTTAGTCCACTCCTACTTATATTATAATCGTAATGTTATGTCTGTAAGTGTGATGTGTTGTGTTGTGTGTGTGTTTTGTGATAATTATGGTCACTTGTCGCTTGGTGTGTGTGTCGGTCCGTTCGTGTCCTGTTCACGTAAATTCATATCGCGAGCGTCCGTAAGAAGATGTAGGACTCGACAAGTTTTACAAGATAAGTTCGATGCATACTATGGCAGGACGGGAACACCTATTTGTGTTGTGTGGGATAGAAGTGTTGATAGCACCTTGATAGATTTCGTATTTAGGCTGGCCTTTAGCAAGGTGAGGTGACCGAAGACCAGTAGTGACGGACACTGGTAAGTGGGACAATTGTGTTCCTTAAGGATACGAATATAGGACGTTGGGACAGCGAACATTAATGATGGGGCACACGGAATCGATAGCAGCTGTAAGATCGTTCAAGGTGCTCGAAGGTTAGAAGTGACCGAGCCCTACTGTCAGGGACACAGTAACGTGTGGAACATCTTGGTTTCCAAGTTTGATTAGGGACGTGGTATCTAGGAACATTTAGTGATGGGGTGAGTAGGGGAATGATAGCACGACTGTATATTGATTTTTGATAAGGGGAGGCTTTAGATAATGTGTTAGGTCCCATTATCCTCTATTGTTAATACGCGGAACACAGCATCACCTAGGCATTAATTTCAGAAAATGATATAGAGTTGGAGATGGGGACACGGCACGTGAGGTGATAATAGCTGATAGGGGCTGATAAGGATAAGGTTCAGTCAAATTGCTGGAGCCTTTACACTACCAAATTTACAGAGTTTAGTCTATTTAGCGGACATTTGATGACGGGCGACAGTATCTTATCTATATTGATATAGATAAGGGATACGGGCATTACATTTCCTTCGTTTATCACTTACACCTCCCTCTAAACGTATCAAGTCAGTGTGCATACTCTTTCCTTACTCCATTCACTTTCCCTCTGATTGCCTTAGAAAATGAAACTTTCCACTATCCTACTTATCCTTATCCTATACTATATATAATCGCTTAGGTACTGCTTTCTGTAAGTGGTGTTGTTGTGTGTGTGTTTGTGTGTGTGTGTGTGTGTGTGCGTCCGTCTGTCTGTCACGAAATTCATAGCGAGCGTCGTAGGAAAGATAGGACGACAGTTCCAAGAAGTGATATACATTGGCAGGACTGGGTAGAATCACCTTTTGGGTTGGGTGATTAGAATGCTGATCGCACCTGGATAATGATTCGATAAGGGGCTTAGAAAGGTCCGAAGCGGTGACTGAGCCCATAGTGACTGGGGACACCATTCATCAAATGTAACAGTGGGACATTTTGGTTCCAGTACGATATAGGACGCGGCGGAATCTAGGAACATTAAATGTGATGTTGGGTGACAGGGAATGATAGCAGCTGATAAGATCCGTCAAGAGGCGTCAGAAGGGGAGGGTGACCGAGCCCATAGTGCGGGACACAGTAACAGTGGGGCATTGTGTTCAAGGTTCATCATTCTATGATA